AACAAATTACCCTCCATGCTCCAGTCAGCCCTGGAGAATCTATTATACAAAATATTCTTTAAGTTGTTTTTTATAGAGCGCACTAGCCAGGTCCTCGTTGGGTTTCCTGCCCTCTGGGGTTTGCATTAGATAATTTTAGCCTCTTTATTCCAATTACTTGTACTAGTAGAGCACACAATTGAAGGTTATGAGGCGAGCTGGTAAAGGTATTATAAGAGTTATGGCCTTCAGGCTGATGATACAGGCTGACAATTAGATGATACCCATCAGATCACTCTTGAGGCCAACCTTAAATCTAGGAAGAGTGTAAGAAAACAAGTGTATTTGCCTAACCAATTACTCGCCACTGAGAAACTCCCGAGCGGGAGAAAATCAAATTTATTGGAAATTGTAATTTGCCACAGCTAGAGAGGGTTATTCTCATTGATTGCATGGCCTGTGTACTCTAATACAAAATTAGATCTCCATTTTACACCAACTAATGTTATTTTCATGCAAACAGTCTTGGAGGCAGGCAAGCCAGCTATTCCCCTCATCTGACCTCAATCATTATGGCAGTATGTCCCAAGGGTCAACACAGCCTATGAATATCGACTGATCTTGTAATGAGATGGGGCACAGCAATAAATTGTACATTGGTCTCTAGGGAGAGGCGGTAAAACCAGAGATCAACTTTTCGCTGATCACTGTCACAAAAACTGTATAATCAGTCAGAATTTAACAGCTCCCAAAATACCTGCTGATTCAGTCCGGGTGTTCACGCTGATATTTAAACCTCCTTGGAGAATATCCCCATGCAGCAAAGATCTGCAAATCCATCAATAGTGCTCAATAATCTGATGGAAATTTACTAGACAATCATCTGCTTGATCGAAGTTAACACATTGAACACTAAAAGCTATCAACAGTGTCAGGGCTTTTTACACAATTTACACGTAAAACGCATGATTATTTTATGAAGTTATCTCCTATCCATCTTTTATTCTATCGCAGAAAAACTTTTTTTTTTGACGTTCACTAATGAATGCTATATTTTAATAGTAGCTAGCAATAGACAACAACAAAAAAATCTCTCTCTGATGTATGGCTTTTGAAAGAGAATTGAGCTTTGTCTGTTATCTTTTTGTACTGTAGAACAATTTAACACTTTTTTTCTATTTTAAAGATCTTCTTCAATTGTAAAATCAATCAGATGTATAACCAAAAGTAAATTACTGTATTCAACCATTTAGGTGCACATGATCTTGTAAGAATAGATTCTTCAATTTATAAAAATTCAGCTAACCTAATAAACGCCCGGTTCAAATAAACACCCACCTTCATCTTTTAATAGAGCTATAGGCTAATACTAAGCACCCTCATATCCCATGGGCATAATTGACATTATTGTTCTAGAGGCTTTCTTTTTGAGTTATTATGTCGAATACGGTAATGTTTATATCCTCTATTTCTGTAGAACACAGACAAACACAAGCACAGGCAAATGCGATGTAGAGTTTTTATCAAAATGTGATAAATGCCATTCGAACATTCCCTTTTCTCTATTACTTAAGCCTATCTTCCATATTTTAAATAGTGTTTTATAAAATCATTAATAACCAGTATGTAATTTGAGAGAGAGAGAGAGAGAGAGAGAGAGAGAGAAATGGGGTTTAATGTCTACTCGACACAAACTAGGTCATTTTGGGACTAACACATGGTTCAATTTTATTTCAATAATTTGCTTGCGCGTAGGGGTCTTTAGCAGTGGGAGGAAACCGGAGGACCTGGAGAAAACCCACAAGGTTGGACAGGCAACCCTATTATCTGTCACGTACAACTGGGGAATCGAAACCCCACCAGTTGACTCAAAGACAGACCGTATAATACAGCGCGCACGTGCTAACCATTTGGCCCATCCAACCCCCCAGTTAATTTGATCAATTATCTTTGATATTTTCAGGGAAAACTCCATACTGTAATGTTTGAAGAAAACACAGAAACCAGGACAAGCTACACATTGAAAAGATACATGGGCATTCAAACAGGAACAAAAGAGAGAAAAAACAAGGTTTAATGTCCACTTGAGACTAACCAGATCATTTAACCATCATTTTAGTTTCTTAATCAAAAATTCCTAATATGAATCATAAAGAATTTTCAATGAATTATAAAGAATTTTAAATATGATTTATAAAGAATTTTAAATATGATTTATAAAGAATTTTAAATATGATTTATAAAGAATTTTAAATATGATTTATAAAGAATTTTAAATATGATTTATAAAGAATTTTAAATATGATTTATAAAGAATTTTAAATATGATTTATAAAGAATTTTAAACATAATTCACAACGAGTTCTTAATTGGAATTTTAAAGTTGGAAATATTTTTTTCTTGGTAGAATTTCTTTTGTATATCAGTATTCATTAAACGTGGGCGGATAAAGCTGAAGATGTATTCCTATTAACCTAATAACATGTATCTAAATAAGTCACCTAATATAAATAACATCAAAATTTATAGATACACTTAATACAAATATATTATAGAAGATTGTTCAAGTATCCAACATCTACACAGCTTTATTTGTCATCAATTAATGATGGAAGGGGTTGACAGAATGAGAAATAGTCCTGTTGTCAAGAGGCAAATCTAATCTCCATATTTCTGTGTATAATAGCTTGTATTCAATCTAGCGAGAAAGTTTGCCAGTAAATGGATTAAGGATTCAATTATCTGCAGATTACAAACTGCTTTCGATCAGAGGGTGGAAATTATCACAATTTACCAGACATTATCACCTAGTTTAATTACTACAGACAAATCTACCTTTCTGTCGTCACGGTCAGACTCTAATCAACAGACATTTTGACGCAATTCAATGTGCAAATTTGCTTAAATCAATATCGTCATATGTGCTAAACAGGAGGAGGTGAAAAATGAATTTGAGGACAATGATAGGTGTTGGGTCTCTGGAGATTGCCGTTAACAAATGGTTATGTCTGATAATGGAGCCAATACAAACTAATGTAATGTACATCATCTATCTTCATCCCCTAATCTAGCTTTTAAATACATTCATCTCTTTTTCGAGACATCTGCTCACTGCTTAAACTGATAAATAAGCAGAAAGCACATCACATTTTTCTCATCCAAAAAAGCCAAAAACATTAGGCATAAAAATTACATTTATTTTGAATATATTCACCATCTTTGCATTCCGATTTCACGCTACTTAACGTCTGAAATGGCATCTTAAAAACGTTTTAGCGTTCAATATGTAAATAATACACTGTATCAAAATCATTTTCAATAATTGAAAAAAAATATGCCTTTTCATTTGAAACGGCATCCAATTTATTTAAAATATTTAATGTTTATCTCCAAAACTGTATCAACATAGCTCGCATCAACATTTATATGATGTGGTTTCTTATCATTTCACATTGAGGCAAAAACAAGACAAGGTTGGAAAAAAAAGTATTATTGAACCAAAATAAAAATTGGCTCTGTTTATTTTTTGTTGTGAAGTTATACATGCCTATTTATATAACTAAAATTATACACAATGTTAACTATTCTTTCAGACCAATATCCAAACAATAATGTGAGCAATACAAAGAAACTGTCCTAGGCTAATATTATCATAATAAGAATGAATAATATTTGGCTAAAATTAATGTCTGTTTACCTTCTTGCAACACAAACACAAATTTAATAGGCCGTTCAATAATTTACTAGAGTCAAATAAGGATTAAAAAATCATAACCATATTTTTACAGGATGGTAGAATATAGGGGAAATGGTTCACAAGAGCTTCAAAAACAAAATTGTCAAATAATGTGCAAAAATGTGTTGTTCGCAGCTATGCATTTCTTGTATGTGAACTACAGAACAATAACTATTATTAGCATTTAAAAAATGTTCTGATGGTTTTTTTTATGTGTACATGACAATAAGGAGAGTAAAAGGCAGTAAATAAAGAGAAAATAGAACCAAACTTGTTTAATTGATGTTGTTGTTGTTTACAGTTTTAAAATCCAATACATTATATATGGTATGGACAGCGTTTGTTTAGTTGATGGAAAATCACCTATAAAGTCCTTTATGTTAATTGAGGACTATATGATTCTTTCCCTGTTGAGTAAACCAAGATGAAATTATGCCTGAGCTGGTATAGAAAGAATGTAACAGCCCTCCTCTTCCTATAGCCTATGTATTAACATTACTGTTTTATAAAATGACATTTCACATCACTTACAAAGAAAGAAACAAGAAGTTCAAAGACGAAAAAATGCAAGCTTCAAACAGAGGGGTTTCTTTGTTTATATCTTAAAAAATAGATTACTGTGTGGAATAAAATGTCACCTATCTTTGAAAATGCACATGAAATATCAATTTTGGAGAATTAAAAGTCATGTCTTTTAAGGACATGCTTTTATACAGGTTTACAATTCATGTACGTGTGATATATCACGGCATCACAGCGATGGGGTTACAGTTTTTGACTTTTGTTCGCGAATGTATCAGAACACTATACACCCAGCATTAACAAGGCTAACCAGTGTTGAACTGTTAGTGTGAGATACTTTTGTCACAAGTGGCATGCTCCTTTATGAAGTGTGCACATGATCCCCCATGACCCCATCATGAAAATGTTATCTAGTAATAAAAGAAAAGTTCTAATGTGCAAGGTAGTGCATGTAATTTCAAATGTGATTTCAACAGCACAGATTCCCTCAGTGTTATATGCTTTCCATATATGGTGTAGAATCGTAATGTAGTCTTAATTTCCCAACATAACATCTTGATTCAGTATCTTGTGTAAAAGTCTCACGCTTCAAGTGACTTGACCCCACAACGATATTTAGTGTGTTTTCCAACTACAATCACTCGTCGCCATATGGTGGTACATAATGTATTTACTGCCTTTTATAGTAATGAAGATAGTTAAGAGCGTGTTTATGTATATAGACTAGTTGATTGCCGATCAAAAGAATAAAGAAAAAGCTTACCTTATCGTCGCCGCTTTCACTATCACACTGTAACAAGAAGACAAAGATCATTAATATTCATAAGAGGATGTAAACAGGCCATTGCATGCTGGGTAATGATGACCTGAAGGGTATTGATCGGGGACAATAGACTGGCGTATCAGCTTCTAATAGTAGCGATGAGACCAGCACTAATGGCAAGCTGTTTGACAACCTACTTTACAACTAGAATAAACTCTGGACACAGATCAGTAAGCAGATTACACAATACACTACCCACGGCCGTTGTGCAACCCAAAACACTTTTGTTATGCAGCGCATAAAACCCAGTTGTGCACATAAGCCACCTGATAGACGTTGTGTACACAGAATAAAACACAATTACATCTAATTTTACTACCAGACGCACAAGTAACATCTTGTCATTTCAATACAAAAATAACACAACCTCACTATACATCCATAGAAACTCATTATAAAAACATGTTCTATTGAAGTCTACAACTAATTTACATAATTTTTTGCTCTTTAGATAAAAAAAAACCCCAGACAAAACTTGAAAGCAAAACAATATTCCAATTATTTCTCCATCTATTAGCAAAATATCATTGCATAAAAATCAATCTTTTAAAAACAAAAAAAAATCTTTCAAAATATCATTCCTCTGTATTTTTCAAAAATAAAATATAATCAAATTAGAATTATTCTTTCTGCAACTATTTTTTTCAAAAATAAATGATTACCAAATAAAAATTTGTCTTTTCTTCTGTAAAATATTATCAAATAAAGTAATTCTTCTGAGAAATTTTGTATGAATTTTTTGCCCTTTTTAATTAGACAAGCTCAACTTGAGACTGTTATCAATTGCACGCACTGGTAGAACCTTTGATAAATTCTTTTGGTATATTTTATTTAATTATCGATTATAAATATAAATGTTAAGTCAATATACACCTCCGGGATGTGTATTCAAGAAATATTCCACGAACAATATGTGCTATTGAATCAATAGGTATAAAGCGAGACCTATTCTCTTTCGATTAATAGGATTAACAAGACCGATAGATCCACTGTCAGGGGTCAATAAAACAATCATTTGATTAATAAGAAAGAAAGGCTGATTGCTCCAGAAGCCATACATCTCTATTAGGCTAGAGAAATGTTTAGGGGATTGCTAACTAACCGCACACGTCAAACAATTGATAATTAGAGCCAAGTCCAATAATCACTTGGCCTGTGGCAATCTGTAAATGTTACATCTGTGAACAAGAATATGGTAGCCAGCATGCCCGCTAATTAAGTCAACCGATTATCAATTAAAGCGGAGACAAGTCATGCATCAATCTTAACCATCCTACAGTCATGTCTTACAAATATAATCCTGGGGCCAAAGCCTTAAGATTGTTTGGTCATGCCAGCAGTCTGATTCCTAACCAATCAAAATCCCTTTTAGTCTTTGTCATAGCAACTAAGCCCCCATTACCTTCAGCATTTGTAAAAGCCAATTACAGGGCGATGCAGCCAGCGGAAACTGACATCTTTGCCAATTGCAGTAATTTCCCTTGATATGATTGGTGTTTGGATTTTATGTTTGATTTTGACTGTGAGGGGTTCAGAGTCTTTGTTCAGCCATGTGTAGTAGCTGTTTGGCAATGAGGTCATTCAAGAAGATTTCATGATTGTCATTTGAGAAGCTGATCCAATCAATAACGAGGATAGAGGCAAATGAGATGAATATCGTGTATTGACCTACTTGCCATGGAACCCTTCATCAGGATTCACATCTGATTTACAACTTGATGGTGAAAAAGATGAAACTGGTCTACAGAACCGTGGATTATTTTGTCAAATGAATTTAATAGAAATATCACGATAATGTCAACTGTGAAAGATTTGTTACAATGTTATTACTTTACCCGATAAAAGACAATTTAACATCAGACTCGAAAAAACATATTCTCAGTTATTGTAAATATATATATTTAAAAACCCAAAGCATACTAAGTATAGTGTTTTAAATTTTTTCATCTACCACAAATGCTTAGTGACTTATATTCTACAGTTTTGTTTTTTTTAATGATCTGATAAATAACTATTAGATTTCATTAAATGGGATTTAAAGTCCATTGGGATAAACAGAGTTTTTCGTGAATTAATATTGTGTAGTGTGTGGGGTTTCTAGTTATATTTTATTTGTCACACGTTCCTGTTTAAGTATATTCTGATTGTTCAATTGATCCTTGTCTTTTTATAATGTTTATCATTTTTCACTTTAATGGCCATTCAAACAAACACATTTCGGTCAATAAGATATTTCATAAAAAAAGTGATTCTTGCACAATATTATCTATTTTCTACAAAAACTAACTTTATTTTATTCCCTATATTGTGATTTGCAAGCGTAGCCACATATTAATCATTTCAATTTAGACTCCTGGTTTATCCAAACATTCAATGTTTTTACTTCACATAACATCCACAGAAATCTGTGTAGCTGACTATAGTGCTCAACAAGTTAAAATCAACTGCTGAAAAGACATATTTTTATTATCCATCTTTTTTTTGACATCTTCCACAAATATTTTTCTACACCTACTATGTGGAGGGAGAACAAATGCATTGACACAAAGTAATGAATTTTTGTAAGAAATTATGGATTTCTAGTCGAGCTTTTGAGAGTCTTGAATAACATGCATTATGTTTGGGAATCAAAGAAGCTTTTAAGTAGACCTGATCAATTAAATCACAAACTGCACACTTGAGTTTCATGTTTATTCAATACAGTAAATATCTTAAAACTTTATGAAAACTAAAAGAACTTAGTAGGACAAACACGTTTAGCTATATATGACTCGATCACTGTGGAAAGTCATAATATTTACAACATTTATGTTGTTGAAAGGGACTTTAATGAAGGAATTAAAATAATAGTAACCACTTAATACTGCAGCTTCACTTATTAATAGCAGTTTACACAGTGTACAAAGAAACACTGTCAACCATCAGAATACCAGAGTGCACTATCTAAAATCTCTTTAACATTGTTTTTCTTCCTTTGGTAAATAAATAAATAAATAATTCAAGAGATGAAAAAGGACATTATCGTACAAAAAACGGAAAAATAAAACTTTAATGGAAAGAGACTGTACAGGCTAATGTGGGAGTAAACATTCATCAAGCGCACATGATCTTGCTACAAAAACGTGAAGTCTGCAATCATCCGGCATAGGTACGATCTAATATAACCGTATCTAGCTGTATGGCTCATCACCAACATTTCTTTTTACCAACAATTTGTGAATCAAAAAATATCAAACCATTGTGTTATTTTTAGCAATTTACAGCATGTCTTTATTTTCAACAGGCTCTTGAGTCAAAAATCAATGCAAGTGTTTCTCCAGAAGAAAAATTTGTTTCCTTTCAGCAAACATTGTAATGAATGGCAGCATGCATACTGTAGAGTCTATCAGTCGTTGATAGATAAACAAGGAACAAGATCTCATCTATTGATATACAGTTACCCAAGTGTGTGGACAAAGTATTGAAAGTAAAAGAAATAAAGTAGATAATACTTACAAGATACCCTCGGCCAGAACTAGAGTGAGTACTTGCCTGAAAAATATGATTAGAAGACAAATATGATAGCCTTCGACAACAAAGTCTCTTTATCCATCCGAACTCATTGAAACAACTCTCAGAACACAGTGATTCAAGAACCTATGTGTAAGAGCTCTTGACATACAAGAGCACAAAACCCTCACACGAATCAATAAAAGGGCTGAATATAATTACTGTCTTAATTTTGAAAGGTTGTTTAACAAGTACTTGAGTTGCCTGTAGTCTATAAGAGCTATTATTGAAGTCCAAGTGGAGAACTAGAGAAAAAGTGTTCTTCTTAAACACTTTCCCCTCTCTTGTGACTCCATAATTAAATTTCATGAAATGCAAACGTTGAGGCGAGCAGTTTTTACATTTCAATAGTCACGATTGGATTGGGCGCTGAAAACATGGGAAATAATTCAGTAAAACATGTAGCGTGTTAACTACAAGTGTCAAAGGTTGCAGGTCTTCCAACAAAACTCTTAAAAACTAGCGAGAACGAGAGGCTTTTATATTTGGAAAGCGAGCATGTTTTGTAGCCAAGAGAGGGATATTGATTGAGGTCTTGTGCCGTCTGCACGAAGTACGAGGAATAATTGATGGGATTTAGAGAGTGCATCAGTGAGGAGTTGGTCTTCTATACAACACTATCTTTCTGCCCCATTTCTCTTCACTAAAGCCATGATAATTACATTAATGCCCCAGGCCATTAAAACCTCCAATAGCCTTTCTATAGATGGCTCATCTTGACTGTGTGATGTATGAAACCATCTCGCAAGGCTTGAGACAAATTTATCTGATCTGTATTCTCATTGCGTTCTTTACAGTCATGGCAAGCAATCAATTTCACACTACTTCCTTTATATTGTGTCGAAATAAACATAGCTGTCGGAGATAATTTGTTGCGAATATTTTTTTGATCAATACTCTGTTAGACCATAAAATCCCCATGTTACTCATTAAGTGACAATAGTGTTAGGAAAAAAACATATTGAAATCGTGTTTAGAGTCAAGAGAGACATGAGAGGCAAGCTTATCTAATAGTATCATGATGCATATATTTACTTGTGAGCAAAACTTCAGGCTTTCTAAAGGTCGGTTCTTATGTTAGGTTTAAGACTTTTGGGGCTGGTAAGGAAATGAAATGGGATTTAACATTCTACAAAAGGCTTGTTAATAAGGATGGGCATATGCCATGCAGTATCCTCTGGGGGAGTTTTTGACCGGACAGCAGCATTTCCATTTCCACATACTCGTCATCTACTTCCAACTGTTAATGGTTCTGTTACGTGCACCTCAATGAGTACAAAGGGGGGGGGGGGATCTCTGGTCTTGATGCTTTTTCTTTGCCAGGCTCTCATCCTGCACCAACGAAAAGGGGAAACCAAAAAACTAGCTACCCTTTCCTCAGTCTCAAAAGTGCCAACCTTAACAAGTAAAGTCTGGGTCATTGTTTGGTTTGAATAATTTCATTCCTGAATAAAACTACCATTAAATCAATCCTAGTAAAGACTTACGTCACTGAGTGGATCTCTTGAATTAGTCCTCAATGATGCGATTGTCAGGAGTTCGTCTCTTGAGTTCTGTTCGTCTTCCGTTTGTGGTTGGGAATTAACCGACTGATTTGACTGCTGAAAAAAAGGAAAATAAACTCTTTAATAATCATGAAATAAATGTCAATATTACTTCTACTTCACTGGTTTCCATCAGTTACGCATGTAGGGATGACAATCAAGTGTGTTTGGTTGTATGAGTGAGACATAAACCAAGGCAATGTACTGCTCATACAAAATTCTTGACATTGTACACATAACTATTGTAATTCAACACAATCATATGTTAGTCGCCAAATAACTTATGTAATAAGTCCTACAAGATTTTACACCCATTCTATTTCTTTGTTTCCACTTTAAAAATTTTATCACTCTGATGTCCCACACCGAAATTCCAAAATAAATAGATGACACATATTGATTAATTGTATATTTAACTTCTTCCAATGTATTGAGCAATCAAACTGATTATCTATACTTAGTCTAAGTATAAAATGTTCACGATCAAACTCAGTCAAGAACTAGAAATACCTGGTAGTGAAACTGTACACTAAGTTTCATCACTCTCCAGGCATTCACCTAATGAACGCCTACACCAAGGTTGAACATGATACCTCAATTAGAAGGAGAGTTATTGTGTTCCAAAGTCCCGACCAATCAAATTGCTTATCGCTCTGCTTACCCGGAGTAGAAAATGCTCATTATCGAACTTAGTCAAGGTATTGATGTAATGAAACTATACACCAAGTTTTATCACTCTCACTTAATTCGAACTAAAGTCATCGTGTCCCAAAGCATCAACCAATCAAATGGTTTATCTCTGCTTACCCTAAGCAGAAAATACTCATTGTCAAACTCAATATGCTACATGAAGTTTGAAAATTGTACCTTAGTCAGAAAGGAGAGTTATTGTGTTCCAAAATCTCGACCAATCAAATTGTTTATCGCTCTGCTTACCCTAAGCAGAAAATCTAATTATCGAATGTAGTCAAGGTATTGATGTAATGAAACTATACACAATGTTTCATCACTCTCACTTGATTAGAACTAAAGTTATCTTTGTCCCAAAGCATCAGCCAATCAAATGGCTTATCTCTGCTTACCCTAAGCAACTCCTACACCAAGTTTGAACATTCTATCTTAATTAGAAGGAGAATTAATCTGTCCCAAAAAGTGTAATGGACGGATGGACAGAAAGACACACAGATGGACTGACAGATCCATTTCAATATTCCCCTGCTTACTTTGAAAGGCGGGGGACAAAAAAGTTTCTTGGCAATAACAAGAATTCTTCTCTCATTGCAGATGATTGAATAAAGCCTCCATTTATTTCCATTACTTGAATGGAGACAATTACTACATTAAACAATAAAAAATATAGCTCAATAGTTTAACTTCAATACTGCACACAATAAATAACTAGAGTGCTAGAAAGAAAATAATTCAGCAAGTAAAGAAAAAGTTTCTGGTCGGTTTTAAAGATTCCCTGATGAATTGGTGTGTTATGAAAGTAAAATGAAGCCTCTAACACTTTGGTGGTGTTATGTTTGATGGAAGTGATATAAGGATTGAAATCTAACAATAAAAATCAGCTAGGCATACAAATATCCTGATAAAACCATTCCTCTGATTGCTGCATTCAGATATTTTCTGCTTACAGCCAACAAAATGGAGATTTGAACTAAGTTGAGTATCTCTGGGGACTTACGATTATTCTGATAATAGCTATAAAATTGCTACTGGATTGTGATACTGGCCCACAGGGAAATCTGTCCATTGCCAATCTCAACCTTTATCAGATCTATTGCTCTAGATTGCAATGAACACATCTCTCTCTCCATGCAATTACCACTGATGTAACATTAATAAATATCTTCCCATGAAACTTATTCCTTTTGTAGTCATAGTAATACAATCATGCTGTTTATTTTTTCATTAACCTGCATCATAGCAGTAGGATTCTTTACCTGTGTTTAGATATAGGAAGCACCCCACAAGGTTAGGCTGACATACCCATTGTCACACATAAAGGTAAGGAAAGGCTATATTCCAGCCATTTCACCTGGACAACAGCCTTTCCAAATACTCTTCATACAACTTTAAACCCATGTCCTTGTTAGCCTCTAAGGCTTTACCCCTGACAAATGTGAACCATGTATGACAATTCCTGCAGTTCTTCTTGGCCCACACAGGGATTTGAACCTGGTACACTATAGTCAAAGAGCCCTAACCACTTGACTACCACCGCCCCCTACTTGTTATGTACAATCTTGTAGTGAATACACAGCTTACATAGATGACAGATTTGTGATTTATAGCGCGGCTCACCACCCTACAGCACAAAATATTTACCTGAATCAATTCCTTCATGCCATAGTTCTATAAGAAACAAACCTTCACACTAGTTCACATTATAGCACATATTAACAATCTAATGTTATTTTGTTTCTCTTTTATACCAATAACGAATCGCAACAAACTAAATATCCCATACATTGTTATAAACATGAAAGTGACCTTTGAATTCATCAAACCAAGAATTTAACAGTTGTAAATGACATCATTAACCATCCTTCTACCACCTGCAAAGTGTGATGTGCAGAGAACTTATTAGTTAACTAATGTAATAAGTTCTGATTTAATGACAAAAGTTGCCAATAATTAATAAGAAACGTAAAAAAACATGCTGACATTAATTCAATACCACATTAGCTTAACAGTTTCCACTTGAGTAAAAACCAGCTGACAATAAAAAAAATAACTTCCTCTGAATTTTTTTAAAAATTAAGTATCCCTTCCTTAGCCTAATTCATTAATAGTTTGGAAACATATTTTACTATGTCATAAATGATATTATGTTGTATTATAAATTTTACTTATATTTGTTTTAAAAAGACCTGAAATCGAAGTAACAAGTATGAAAAATGCTACTTCGACTCCAGGTCTGCTCTTTACCAAATCTATCGATCATGTAATATAATTGTACAGTTTCATTTTGCAGTGGTTCACAAGGCATTATGGCTTACAGCAAGTCTTTGTTTAGCTACCAGAACCATATTACCAGCAATAAAAACACACTGAAAGGCTGATTAGGCAATAATAAACATTGGCAGGAAAAGAGGAAGCAATTGTATTTAGCCTGGAGGGGGACAGGTTTTTCATTTTAAGTGTTTCCGTTCTGTAAGCTTGGAAAATAAAATCAATCCAATTTGTAAAGGTGATCAAAGAAAACTAAACTGCCTTCTGCAAAAATCAATGGTGATTTTCATTGATTGCTGTGTTACAGGCCGTAAAACACGGTTCTAGTCCTTGGTGAAAAAAAAAAAAATTTGCTGCACACAAACTACAAATTGCACCCGACGGAAACACATTCATTATCGGAGCCAAAATGATCTCATTATATATACTTAGTGTAACAACAGTAGGTTTGTTAATACAAATAGCAGTCATGACTGAATTCTACAACATCATTGCATCAAAGAAAAAAAATCCTAAAAAAACCCCAAAAAAAACCCAGATGCATGTACTTGATCATTCACTATAGCTTTTTTATTTTATAAAATCTTTTTGCTGAGCTTCAATAAATTGATTGATTCATATCCATTCAAAATCTTTTTTTTTTTCAAAACTGAACGATAACCACCTAAAAAAAAAAAATCCTATTAACTTCTGATAACAAATCAGCACATCAAAACAGATTTTAATATTTTTTTTTTTCATCAAAATTCCCATCTTGAATAGAACATTGAAGTTCAACCATCTATACAAACTTAATTCAACAGTGGTGTTTTAAAAAAAAGATTAAGAAAACAGTAATTAAGAATGAACAAAGCAGGGACTATTTTGTAAAGTGTAATGTCATTTCAAGTGTTACATATGATGTCTAAGTGTTGATATTTCTAAACCTATGTAAAGAAGTCTTTGAACATTCGAACATATCTTGAGGCGATCTTATTTCAAAATAGAGCAATTGAACCAAGTTACCTTTAGTGGGGTGGGAATATATTTGTGTATCCACTACAATGCTTGTGTTTTTTCTCTTTATCTTATATATAATACCTCCTTATTCTTCATGTTAAGAGACGGAAAAACGTCCTCATATAAAGACAAGTTTGTAGAAATAAGTTGGTGTAAATACTGCTTACATTGAGCAATTAAACCGACTTCACCTGTCTATTTATCTTCCTTTGATCCAACAAACTTCTAATACATGGGTATTTTCTACCTCAATTTGTTGGTGGAGCTACCTATGAAAACAGGTACGTGTTTGAAAGGTCCTATTAAAGATTGACTGCAGCAGAGGGCATGAAGGGCCAACAAGCTTGTTTGTTCTTCAATTTCCTTTATTAATCTACAGTTGAAACAGCCCATCTGGCTTTTGTGCATAAATCACACACTTCACCCCACCCTGATCTTTTCTCAGTCAACACCGGATTTCTCATACACCATCAGTTATCTCCCCTTATCTAATTAAAGGTAACCGCAGGTATTTTAGCATTACAAATAAAGTTATTTGTCCTGAAACCTACCCTGTACATCTATTTCAAGCATTTTAAACCAAACAAAACTTAAGAATGTGCTGGCAAGCTGTAAAAAATACCTATAGCTGTAGATTTACAAAGTAGCTTTGAGAATTGGAAGTAATTCAAACCGAAGCTGGGTGGATGTTACAAAAGGTTAGACAACACTGCAAATTTTTGTACAAGAATAAACATACAAAAATCATCATTTATCCTATCTTGTTCTTCATCAAACACAACCTTCGAATACATAGTTAAAGAGATTTTTTTGGGTACATAACATGCAAGTTAAGAGATTTTTTATGCGTACAATAAAGACGTTTGAAAACTATTATCTATTTTGGTATACATGTCATTAATCGATGTCTGCGTATTACTTGATAATAATGACTCCCTGGCAACCACAAGTGTGTTAAAAGAAGTAAAACAGACAGAATCATTTCTCTTCTCGCCTTTTGAAAATTCCTGTGAATTCTAAATGCACATTACTTGGATGGTCTTACCATAATTTAGATTAAAGTCATCTCATTTTGTGATAAGTTTTCCAGAGGGAGCGAT